TAATTATCGTAAATAATTTGTAAATAATATTTATTAATATAAATATTTATTAATATTAATAATGTTTAAATTTTATCAGTATTATTTATAATTAATGGCAATCAATACTAATAAATATTAATGATGGTTATAATTGAAAAAAATGACAATAAACTACCAAAACACTAATTTAAGTAGCGTTTCAATAAGCTAGCTTATGTGCATTCAAACATGTATTCAGAAAATAAGCTAATTTATCTTTACCAAACGATGCCTAAATAATTTAAATTAAGTTATACATTATAAACTAACAAATAAGACATTAAAAAAGTAAGAAAAATAAAATATTGTGTTTATAAAAATAAATGTTTGAAAAAGATAAATAATATTTTATTAAATGTATTTTGAATATTTTAATAATATAGTTGATGTTAAAATAGAGTAACTGTTGTATTTGGATGTGATTTTCTTAAAGATCTTGACTTTTAGAGAAAATATAGCATAACTGTTGGAGATTCCAACATTCATAAATCATTGTTCAAATAATTCAAAACCCAAAAGAAAAATACAAGTAAAACCATTCTATAAGCTTGCGTTTGATACGTAAACAGAATTGAACAAGAGTTGAACGAAATCGAACCAGATATACGAGTCGGGGTGTGCAGGTCCTGAATTATCCGAAATCCGAACTCAAACCTGAACCGAAAATAAGGCATTTATGTAAAACTTGAATGCCCCAAAATCCGAAAACTGGTTTTTTGGGGGAAATTCATGTTCGGGTTGGGTTTGATTTTTGGCCACCCGATACGTCCGAAAACCTGAAATATATATACATATATGTTTTTTAAATACTATATAAATATACTTATTTATATTGTTATTACCTCAAATATGAGACAACACGTTTTTGTTATGCTATGCCTCGTTCCATCCACCATATACCATACATACCTTAAAATGGCTATATGAAATAAGCCGGAACCCGCAAATTTGTTCTCGTTAAACCACTTTAAAGAAAGTAATATGATACATTCTCGAGAAATGATCCAACCTTCTCTATTTGTATCCCGTTAAATCTATCCAGATAGACAACTTAATCCATAACTTAATGGATGAAAAACACGATGTTTATATCGACGATAAAAAAGGTATGAGCAAGTATACAACAAAAACGAGCCTGCGATTTTCCATGTTACACGAACCCTACTAAAAATTTACGCTTTTATTTCGCTTCCTACACGATTATGCAAAAGAAAACCGGTATAAAAACTAAGAACCCCACGAAAAAAGAATCGAAATTATCTTACTTCTACCTTCAAAATTGATATTAATCGTTCCTTCACTTGTGAAACGAACGTTTCAATCGCTATAATCCCCCGAACCAAAAGAATCCGAATCCTCAACCTTAAAATTCCTTCCGTCGTTCCCGTCGACGTAATCATCGTTCATCATCTCATCGTCTTCTTCCACGACTTCAAACCCTTCTTCTTCGCTCATTTCCATTGAAGCCCATCTACTTTCATTATTGGCAACTCCAAACCCTGAACTTTCTTCGTTCGCCATTTCAAATCCTACTCTTTGTTCTTCACCTTCATCTTCGGATTCGCTTTCTTCTTCTTCGTCTTCTTCACTGATACGGAAGTTTGTGTTTCCCGTCTCCATTTTGTCGACGGGTTCTTGAACCCATTCTTCATCGATGAAGTTTCTTATTGGCTCTTCTTCTTCTTCGACAGTTTTCTCAATTCTTCTTCTTCTGACGGTTCTTCGGCCCCTTCCATGTGTTTGTTGTTTGATAGCTTGACTCATTGTAACGTTATCTTTAAGGTTTTGCCGGCTTCCGGAGACTGAAATGGCGCCTGCCGCCCGTTTCTGCCACTTCCCGCCACGACTCCCCCCACCACCGCCACCACGAGCCCCTTGTTTCATGGGTTTGCTGTGGTCCATATCGGTAATCGTTTTCCCGATGTTCTTTAAGAATGTGAACTTCAATGGAGGTTTCTGTGGAGAAACAAGTTAGAGACAAAATTAACATCCAAAATTTATAAGGTTTCGAAAAGCCGAACAGAGATAACAAAGTGGTCAAAGGAGAGAGAGGAAGACCTCGACCATCATATGGTTTAATTCGTCTCCCATATGGAGTTCGGCTTTCTGTTCAGGACTGTAGGAAATCGAGGCATCAAGCTCGAAAATCCGTAAAGTTACAGCAGCGGTTGTTTGCGGTATCCACGAAAGTACAGGGACCGAACCCGAGCCAGAAGCCGCCCGTTGTGATAAGCCGGAGGTGCCAAGCAGTTCTTCGGTTGTTTCAAAGTTCAACGACAGATAATCCCGTCTTACGACACTCTCAAACCACGTAAGAACCTGCAACCAAATTCGATCCACATCATCAAAAGAAACGTTTTTGTAAAAACGAAATTCAGGGTTTAGGATTTAGGGTTTAGTTAACCTGTAGAAGATCCTCAGGTGACGAAGAACCATGCAACTTCGAACCCCAAGCTTCCCGATTGTTTCCCGTCCAAGAAGATTGCAAGGCCTCAGACGGAACCGAAGCCTGTGATGTTTCCAACCAATAAGTTAATAACAGAATAAGTAATGAATTTCTCCGTTTGATGATTAAGGGGAGAATTGGAAAATAAACACTTACGAAAGCATATAATTATTTTGGGACAAAATAAAACAAAAATGCGGATAATTATGTTGGGATCGAGAAAGTAAAAACTACGGAAATACAAGGGCCGAGAATAAGGACACAAGTTGTTCGATTTACCTCCAAGAAAGTTAATAGGGATTTGATCAATCGGATTCTCTGCGGATGGGTGATATCCCAATCACATTGATCGTTAGTTTTGGGAACGTTTTCTTGATATTCCGATTCGGGATAACTTAATCTGTCGCCAAACGTGCTGAACGACCTATAGCATCGAGGGCAAATATCCTTCTCGTAGCAATAAGATTCGTGACAGAAATCGCAGACTCCCTGTACCGGAAAACACCTTTGTTTCCCGTGTACCATTGCCGACAAATTTGACGAATATAAACATTCTTTCCACATCCAGGACTCGAGATCTCGATATCGTTTCATCGCATTCTTTTTCTCCAACTCATTTCTCCTAAGCTCTATGTTGAAAGACGGTGATGGTTCCAATGAATCTGAACCGGAGACACACACGGTACTATTGGGACTTCCGTCACTAGCAACATTGGGACCCGCTTCGATCCTAGAAAAACGTCCACTCCGATCCGTGTTTTCAGCACGACCGGCATTTCTTCTGATGTTTTCCTTGAACGACATCTCTATTTTTTGCAACATTACATGCAAATGAGATTCGCGGGCTCCACGTGTATCCAACGACAACAAAAGAGCATCAAATGCCTACATCCACACAAGGGAAATAAAGAAATTATATATAATCGCAATAGTTAAAAGGGAACACATCCATTAGACTCTGTACGTTTGGTACGCTTGAAAAGATGGGACAGTATAAAAACTTGTTGTGCCACATTTGACCCGACATTAAACTGTGACAGGATAAGACCCGAGTGAGACAAAAATGCATTTTTTTCTGTCCCACGAGGACAGGTAAAAAATCAGGAAGATAGGACATGATTGGTAAATTACTAAATTACCCTTGTCGAATTAAAATCCTAAAACTTCCGAGAATTCTCTCAACCGCCTATCCCACTTTCACCCATCTAGTCCTTATTTTAGCAACTCTTCATGTATTTGCTTTATAAAATTACTGAAAAGACCCTATGTTTTGGGAATTGGTATCTAAGCTTTATATGATCTCTCTTCATGAAATTACCAAAATGACCCTATCCAGTCCGGTCCAAACCCAACCCATTGCACCATTAGTGCCTAATTTCCGATTCTACCCTTGATTATGAGATGAAAAAATCCATAACTCCCTTTACTATGAAGGTTAAAATTATCGTTTAGTTAATCAAGAAGTGTAATAATTACACGTTTCTAAGAACTGTATGCCTTTTTCATCGTAAACATTGATTTTGGGACGGAAGGAGTATATAAGTTGTCAAATTTACCTCTTCAGAATCGATTAGCCTCCAACACCCGTTTTGTAGTTCAACAAATATCCTGCCGGATCCTGGATCATGCTTGGAACTCGATGCGACAAATTGCCAATAACGGTTACGCCTCCGGTCCTGGCCCAAGGGCAAAGATCTGTATACGTACATCTCTTCGGCTTTGTGACCGATAAAAGCTTTCAACTGCAACCGCAATCTTTCAGTGGTATTATATCCATTGTTATGAACTTGAGCCGTGGTCTGGCCCATCGAACCATCTTGAGCCATCTGTAGAAGCCCGTCATTGGTTTTACTGTCGATGGTGGGCATCAGCGGGCTTTGGCCGCCCTCTGCCGCCGCCGCCATTAAAGAAGAATCTTGAAATTTGGTTATGCATTCTTCTTTCAATCGTTTCTTATCTAGTTGCGCTTCAGCCCACATTTGCTTTCGAACAGCAGTTGCAGCATCTAACCGATCCTGTATAAAGCTCATATTAGATAACAAAATACGACCATTGGACTGAATTGACCTACATCATCTATACTATATTATAAGGCATTTGACAAAAACTCTTAAAAACCACTTTTTATGCACAAAGTACTGTTTATTGATGCATATTACTTAAAATTTAAGATTATAAGTAAATTGTGAATAAGTACAATTTATTAAAGCTCTATGTTTGAATTCGTGTAACTATCTGCGGATAAACATAATCAAATTGAGGATAAACATCTCATTTTAAAATATAAAAATCTAATATATAATTAGGATAATTATTGAGTCTAACAGAATACTTAATTATTATCTTTATAAAAAATATATTATTAAACCTAAATAAAGCTAGTTCGTTACGCTAAATTAAATTATAATAAAAAATTTGAATTAAAAAAATACACAAATAAGAAATTTTAAATAGTTAATTTTATACTAATATTAATATATTTTTTGCAAATTTTATATGATATTTTCAAATTCATATTTTATTCAAAAATAAAAATCGTATTATCGACATAGATTAAAAAAAACGAAACATTGAACTCGAAATGTGTCTCGATGCATTGCATGAGTACCTTTCTAGTATATCTATATCTATATATATATATATATATATAGAGAGAGAGAGAGAGAGAGAGAGAGAGGAGAAGGTTCAAATGGGAACCATAAATATTTTGAGACATCTGAGAACCAATATATGCAAATACATATATATAATTCAGGGGAAAACCACATAAAAGTGGAAAACTGGGGAACATACTAATAACCATTCATTTGTGCGGTATGTACATGTGCATAAAAGTAATTGAAAATGTTTCTTGGTTTGCATGCATGTGTGCATTTTATACACATGTGCATACCGGGTAAATAAATAGTTATTAGGGTGTTCGCCACTTTTCCCTTTTTTTGTGGTTTGCCCTGAACCCAACCCCAAATATATGTATATATATGTATATATATAAATATACATATGTGTGTGTATTGATTGATGAGTATACATTGTCAAAAATATATATCCATCAATTATTATATATCATTGGTGCATATACTCACTAATATTCATGTAGTGTATATGCATCAAATGCATATACTGGTTTTCACGGTTCTCAAAACATTTATGGTTCTTAGTTGAACCTTCCCCTACGTGTGTGTATATATAATATATAATATATAATATATAATATATATATATATATATTCTCGAAAGTACCTCAAGAACTAAGCGAATAATGTTTCCTTCATTAGCAATGCCAATTAAAGCAACAAGAGCATTGAGACGCTCCTCAACACAAAGATCCGAATATTCCCCTTCGGTGAGTCCTTGAACCCATGGTTCCCCTGATTTCCGTTCATCTATCTCGCTACTTCCTTGATCAATACTACTCACACCAACGCCTTCAAAACAAAAATTACAAGATAAATTTAAATCAACGAACCATAAAAGGGAATAACTCCATGTAAAAGATCAAAAGTTCATAAAATAGGAGCCCACTTTATGATTTTTCATCATCCCAATCCTTTTTCGAATCTTGTTAAACCAAACGAGCACAGTACATCCACCCAGAGGTGGGGTCTAGGGGATAAGATGTAGGAAGAGCTGACCTCTACCGGAGGTGGGGTCCAGGGCTTTTTCAAATTTGGATATTAACCCAAATTTGATATATTCCTAAATTACCCTTTTGGGTCGTATAAAGTGCCCCATCAATTCTTTCGGATTGTGGAATTGACCAAAAGAAATTCTTATGTTCCTTCTATATTGTGAAGTGGATTCTTTCTGGGACGGAGGAACTAAATTATAAACTTACCAGCATTTTCGAATTCGTTTTTCATATCTAAATCAACATCTTCTCCAACAGCCGTTTTAGCTTCTTCGTTGTAAAAGTTAGCGTCTTTGGTAGTCGATGAAGTACCAAAATCATCGATTTCAGGACCCTCAGCAACCTCGCATTCATAATCTTCGTCTTTCTCAACATCCTCAACGTTCACCCCAGCCAAAATCCCGTTGGCATAACTTTGTATCTTCTCTTTAGCCGATGAAATTACTTCCTCAGCATTTGCAGGATCCTTCCTGAAAGTAGGCCGAACACAATAGGTCGAAGGAGCAATTCTTTCAAACAAAATCGGATCCCTTGATAAAGCAACGGAGATCGAAGCATCGGGTGTCTTGCTAGTTGTAAGATCACGAAGTCCAGTTTTCTTCAAAAGGAAGTTAAAAGGAGGAAAAGAAAGAAAAGTGAGACAAAATATATAGAGAACGAGAAACAAAAGAGAAATCGAATACAATCTTTATAAGACTGTCTCCAAGAAATTCTCCAAAATGGAGAAAATGGCGATTTTTAGGGAGATTTTAGCTTTTGCTTCTCCATTTTGAAGAAATTATGGAGAATTTATTTAAGATGCGCTCAGATATGCATAGACCTGACCTCTACCCCAAAGAGCAGAGCTGCGCTTATGCAAGAATGTGAGCAAACATATAGCGGGATTTATAATGACCTGAATCTTTTCGGCAAGTTCTAAAACGTTTAGGCCCTTGCTTCCCTCGAGACAAAGAACATGATAAGCAGCAAATTTGACCGTCCCAGGGGTCAAACGATGCCTTGACTTCCGTTGAAGATGAACCCCTTTTTCTTGCATCAATGTAGCGGCATTTTCTGCAGCCGAACCATTTCTTAGCATGGTGATTACATCCTCACAGCCTTTACCCTGCACAAATAGACCAAATAATTACACAAATTGACTCATCTCCCCATTGAATTCCTTACTGAACTTTCTTTTCTTCGTTCTGAAGATGAATTACGGTTTTTAAGACAAAAAGATCGCGTTTTAAGAATCTAATGGTCATATTTCTTAGTACAATGATAATAAGAGTGCATTTGGTATTATATACTTCACAAAAAAAGTGCATTTGGTATGCAGAACACGATAGAACTGAACAAAAACTTCTTGTCTCGTGATTGGAGAAACATTAGACCGAGACACGGGACAAAATTGCATCATTTTGTCCCACCAAAAAACATGGATGGAACAAGATTGGTAAATTACTAAACTACCCATTTCGGTTTAAAACCATAGAACCTTGTACAATTCTTTCACCTGCCTACCTTACTCTGGTTCGTCCACTCCTATGAGTCCCGTCTATGTACCAAACGCACCCTAAGATCTAATGCAGACTAAAGGCCTGTTTGTTAGCAACTTAATGAGCTTGATGGGATTCACAGCTTATTCAGTCAGCTATACATGGCTGTTTGGTAGTGGCTTAATGATATAGAAAGTGATTTATTCAGTAAGCTTCAAAGAGGGAGCTTTATGCAGAAGGCTAAGTTTTTTTCAAGGCTGCTCCTCCCATTTAATAAACAACGCACCTTCCATGAAAAAACCCTCCCAAACAACAATCTTCCCAATCCATACAGACAGACTAATCCACACAGACAATTTTATCCATATGGGACTTAATGGAAAACCAACCAAACAGCCTCTAAAATCCATAAATTTGAACCTCATTCAAAGTAATAAAAAAGAAAAGGAACATGATGTGCACCTCATCGTTTTCTGGCAAGCATGAACGTTTTGCCTTATCTTTTTTCAACTGGGGTCCAAACCCCGCAGATAAAGCAAATTGTCGAAGAACTTCCGGCCACGTCAATGGATTAAGATGTTTAAGCCAGTTACGTATGTCAAAGCCCCACATATATGCCTGTTAGATATAAACCATTCGTCAGTATGTGTTGCAACCATATTACAAACATCTATAAACGAGCGGGTTTTGATCAGAATTTACCCCTTCGACAATCTGAGGATGACCACCTTCGGGGTTAGCAACCGTGTATTGATTTGTTCCAGGCCCACCAGAGGGTGTCCTTGCAACATCTTCGATATCTCTTATGATCAGCTTCAGAAGAGCAATGTGAACTTCTCCCAATAATCTTGAATCCTGATTAGAAAGAAGACATTTATTGGGTCGTACAAATGAAACTGAAGAAAATGAAAGATTTTTACGCTACCATTCTACAAAAAAATGAGTGGGTCAGGCCAATAGACCGATGAAACTCACATAATCATGAAGATCTTGAACAAACTCATCAAGGGTAAAAGGCCAAAGCCCAAGAACGTCGGCAAAAGTCATACAAAATCTCCAAACCTGGCACGGGAAACATAGAGTTGATGTCATGTCAAACGAAACCAACGAACTTCAAACAGTTCATTTATAAACCAAACCAAACCAAACCAAACGCGAGCCCAATATATCCTTTTAAAGGCGGGGTCGGAGGTAAGATGTACGCAGACCTGACTTAGAGTAAAGTGGCCAATGTTGATTTATCTTGCCTTAAAAAGTGACAGCTATGATAAATATGCATTTCAAAAGAACAAGAGATGCAAAGAGACGTACCATGAGAAGGTTTCCAACATTTTCTTCTGAGTCGATCCAGGGATGAATTGAAAAAGGTCGTTTCAATCGTACTTGCACGGACTTCGGAGGGAACACACACAAGAGATCTGAGTATGATGAAACTCATATAAGTAGGTTAAACAAGAAATTTTCATTAAGAACCCGCTGTTCATGAATCATTCACGATGAATATCATGAATAATGAAAATGCATGATATTTCTATCCAAATGAATGCATGATATTCATAATCAATAATTCATATCAGTTCGTAACTGAACTTTCTCCTATAACGACATATTAGATGAATCGTTGTATGCTAAGGTTGGTTGGACCGAAACTTTGTCAAAATAATAAATTCAATTTATATGAGAAACAATATTTACCTCGAAACGAATCAAGATTTTGCAAGGTTTCATAGTCAAGTGAAACTATTGACGGCAGCCCTTTGCTAGATGCAGCTAATTCCAACAGTTCCAAACGCTCGTCCTCAATAAGTTCCATAGATTCTTTAGCAATTTTGCGTGCCGCTGCCTTTTCAATAGCGGCCTTGAGTTTTATTGCTTCCTTTTCTCTACGAAGCTCCTCTTTTTGTCTTCTTCTCTCAGCCTTTCAAAGATAATATGTAAAAGGGTCAGACATGCCCGTTGACTGTAGCTACAATCACCTAAAAGAGGGCCGCCCCCAGGGGGCGAGGATGCCTACCTTCAAAGATTCCTTCTGCAAGAACTTCTCTCGGCGTTCAATTTCACGCTTTTCCTCACGTTGAAATCTTTCCTCTTGCCGTTGTTTTTCTCGCATCATTCGCTCTTCTTCCTTCCGTCTCTCGCGGTCTTGCTTCTCCATTTCTTTCCGCATTTGCTCTTCTCTCTAATAAAAAGAAAACACACACGATATAAGACTATTACAAATGTAACATCCAGGCCAACGATACCAGATATTGTCCTCTTTGTCCGCAAACGGTTTTCAAACGCGTCTGATAGAGGAGGCATCAAGCCCCTTATGAGGCAACCTTTGTTCCCTTCCCAAAGTGGGATCTTACGATCCACCCCCCTTGGGAGCCCAGCGTCCTCACACCAGTCCGGTTCCCAGCTATGATACCATCTGTAACATCTCAGACCAACCATATCGGATATTGTCCGCTTTGTTTACACAACTAGACTCACAGTCTTAAAACTCGTCTGACAGAGGAGGTATCAAGTCCCTATAAAGCAACCTTTGTTCCCCTCCCCAACCAATGTGGGATCTTACAACAAATCCCAAAAGACAAAAATTACGAAGGAAAAAAAAAGATTCTTGTACCTTTTTCCTCATCAAATCTTGTTTCTCAAGCTCTTTCCGCATCCTCTTTTCACCTTCCCCCCTTACGGAAAATGCATCATCACTCTGCAAAAGTAACCACAAATTTAGGATAGAGGTCAGGTCTGCATACATCTTACCCGTCCCGAACCCCCTCTCCAGGTGGAATATACCGGTTCGTTTGTTTTATTTTAAGTGGGCAAGTCTATAGCAAAAAATTCATAAACTACAACCAAAAGTGGGGCTGTTTGGTTGATTTTTCATTAAGTCATGTATGGCTGTATGAATAAAGTTGTCTATGTGAACTAATCTATCTGTATAGATTGGGAAGATTTTTTGTTTGGGAGGGGGTTTTCATAAATGGAAGAAGTGTGGTTTTTAATTGGGAGAGGCAGGGTTGGAAAAAACTTGACGATCTGCTTAAAGCTCTCCCTAGAAGCTTATTGAATAAGCCACTTTCTATACTATTAAGCCACTACCAAACAATTATGTATAGTTGTTCGAATAAGTTGTGAGTCCCATTAAGCTCATTAAGCAGCTAACAAACAGGCCCCATGCATACCTTGCGTTTCCTCCACATTTGCATAACTTCTTCATTGGGTTGAATGAAATCATCATCTTTTATAGGTGATGATAAATGTCCCATCTCCCCTTTTGGAGTCAATAAGCCAACACCCTTTAACTGTCCCGAGCCAACATAAGGCTGTGGCAGTTGTCCGTTTTGAATAACTAATCTTTGGTCACTTGGGTAACCAACGGGTGAATCATATAAACGAGAAACGACTCCATATGGTTCAGGCTTGATAGTAGAAACACCAGGCTCTAGAAGACCAGCCACCTCAACCTAGGAAAATACAAAATTCAGTAAATTACAAACATAATCCAAGTATGAAATGTTTATAGTAGAAGTTAAGAGAACCAACTTTGATTGGCCGAGGATCAGGCTCCTCGAATAAATTTCCGTCATAAGAATGCCTAGTTTGACCATGACGCTTCTTCACCACTGATAAACAAGTAACACCCGATGAAAAGATGTAAAAGTTAGCAGAATCCCGGATAACTAAAAATCAAGAAATCTAATGGGAGTAAATAAATCCGAAGGTCTGAAACGTTAAAGAAAATATGGGATAAGAAGTTTGCTTTCTATATATCAAATACAACATGAGAAAAGTCAAAAACAATGAATAGTTGTATACTCCATAGTTCATTCACATGTGAATAATCTAGCATTGATTTCACTTGACATAAAGGCATTGTCATTCACATTATTCATTATCGAGATCAATTAAAAACTAGCAAGTACCTATTGGCGTCCCAAATGCACCTGGGGGCAGCTCATCAAACTCCATTCCGAGCGCAGGTCCATCTTCCCTCAATGGCTCACCCAATTGCACCTCCACACAATCAATTATTCTTCGCAACATTATCTTTTGTTGTGTTAACTCATACGCTCTGCTGTGAACCAACGGTTCATTAAACTGACTAGAATCCGATTCTGAACCAGAACCTGACCCTGAACCAGACCGAGACCATGACTCATGACGTGACCTTGACCGTGAACCATGGTCACTCCCACCACCACGTTCCACCACCATCAATTCTTGTTTAGAAGACCTCATCGACTCTATCCTCTCCCCAAGTGCACCATCAGCTAGCGGCCGTTTCACGATCCCTTCTTTCTTATCTTTCAATCGTCTGTGACAAAACCACATTTGCAACTGCCGGTCGGTTAACCCCAGAGATTCCGACAGCTTCGCTCGTGTGGCCTCCGATGGATACATCTCCGCTGCAACGAAATCATCAAAAACCATTAGAAAAAACACAGCAAACCTCCATATCAAAAACAGAATACCAAAAAACTCTACCAACATGTGAATGCACACAAAAAAACCTACAAGATCATAAGTGTGTATACATCAAGATTTCTCGAAATTTGAAGCTCTAACCACATACAAATGCATCAATGAACTCTATTATACACTAAATTTTAACAAATTCACTATGCCCTCAATTTATGCAAACAATATATATATATATATATATATATATATATCAAGATTTCTTGAAATTTAAAGCTCTAACAACATACAAATGCATCAATGAACTCTATTATACACTAATTTTAACAAATTCACCATGCCCTCAATCTATGCAAACGATATATATATATATATATATATATATATATATATATCAAGATTTCTTGAAATTTTAAGCTCTAACAACATACAAATGCATCAATGAACTCTATTATAACACTAATATATAACAAAATCACCATGCACTTCAATCTATGCAAACAAAATATATACATATATATATATATATATATCAATATTTCTTGAAATTTAAAGCTCTAACAACATACAAATGCATCAATGAACTCTATCATACACTAAATTATAACAAATTCACCATGCTTCAATCCATGCAAACAAGCACCAAGCGAACACTATTACAAACACAATCCCCAAATCAATCAAATCTAGAACAACATATCAGAGACCCAAATAGAAATCAGAAAACAATGAATCAGAAAACCCAAAAAAAAGCATTAGAATTTAGAAAACAAGAACAGAAAGATGAACACATACAAGCATAGGTCTTTTCAAGCATTCCCAGTTGAAAAGGAGTCTTCATCTGACGTTTAGGTTTCTTGGATCCATCAGATTGACCATTATTGTTATCATTCATGTTCCGATTGCTCTCCCCTTCCGAACCAGTCTCCATCAAAAAGGGTCGTCGAAACTCGAAACTTTGAATGAAACCCTAGAAATTTCACAAACGCAAAAACACCCACAAAAAAGAAACGGAAAAACTAGGGTTCCTCGAAGAAAACCAAAACCGACATAAGGTTTTCAACTCAATCCCAAATCAAAGAAAACCCAAAAGAGAAATCCATCAGGAAAATCGAAAGATGGAGATAATAAAGGCAAAGATGTAGAGAGAGAAAGAAGCAATTCTTGAGAGAGAAGAGAGAATGATGATGATAATAAAAACGGGGATATTATTACAATTCCAAAGGAACAAGGAAAGAACAACAAGAATAGTTGGAGTCGTCGAGCCTCTTGGGTGGTTTCTGATCTGATTAATCTTTTCATATTGGATTTTGCTTATTAAAGATTTAATTTTTTCGATTTCTTTTTCCCTTTTTTTCAAGAAATTAGAATTAGAAATTGAATCTATTTAAACAGGAACACGTTTATGTGTTTCTTGGATTTGTATACACGATGGATGACGATGATAGATATCAAGAATTCCAATTGTTTTTGATCTGAGAGACCAAAAAAAGCAGTTGAATTTGTGGAATTTTTTACTTTAATTTTCTTTTTTAATTTTGGGTCTTTTTTTTGGCATCAAAAGATTCCTAAATTTAGGTTTTTTTCGTAAAAATCAAAATCAAAATCAAAATCAATTATTTGGTTTCTTTTACTGGTTCCTGGGTTTTGGGTACAAGTTGTGTAATCAATTGTTAGATTGCTTGCGAATCTTTTTAGGTAATCGATCGGGTTCGTCAATGTGTTTTTCGGTCGTTTTCCTCTTCTTTCCCTTTTTCAGAGGTTGGGCTACAAGGCCCATTGGACCACTATTTCAAATCCATTTTTACTCCATTTATATGTGTAAAGTGTAAAGTGTCTTTGCATAACATAACAAGATATATCTTAATTTTATTATTTCATTTTATTATATACTAGATGCAGCGAGATAAATCGTGATTTTAATATTTCATTTTATTCTTTATCTCAGTCGATATTATAATATGACTTTATGTGATTTTAAGAAAGCGATGATGTTTTTATTTTTGAATAAAATATATGTTTGAAGATATCATAAAATTTTGACAAATTTATATCGATATTAGTATCAAATTAACTATTTGAAATTCCTTATTTTTTGTGTAATTTTTTAATTCAATTATATTATAATTTAATTCAAGTACAATAACGAAGTAATTTATATTTGGTTTAATAATATAATTTTCTTATAAAGATAATAATTAATTATTTTATTAGAACTCGATAATTATCCTAATTATATTTTAGATTTTTTATATTTTAAAATGAGATGTTTATCCTCTATTTGATTATATATATCCGCAATTAGTTATACGAATTCAAAAATCGAATATATGATAAACATCTCACTTTGAATAAAAAATTAAAAATATAATTAGGATAATCATTGAGTTCTAACAAAATATTTAATTATTATCTTTATAAAAGATTATATTATTAAACCAAAAAAAATGAATTAAATAAATACACAAAAAAGAAGAAATTTTAAAGTCATTTTGGTACTAATATCAATATTTTTTTTCTATTTTCTATAACATCGACCCCAGACAAAAGAAAAACGAAACATTAAAATTGAGATGTATCGCGCTGCATTGTGCGAGTACCCTTCTAGTTAATATAATATGGTTTTTAGTGGTTTTGAGAAAGCGATAATGTTTTTAATTTTGAATAAAATATAAATTTAAATATATCATAAGAATTTGAAAAAGAATAAATCAAGATTAGTATCAAATTTACTATTTAAAGTTCTGGTTTTTGTGTAATTTCTTTAATTCAATATTTTATTTATTATTTAATTTAGATTTAATAACGAAATAATTTATTTATCGTTTAATAATATAATATTTATAAAGATAATAATTGAGTATTTTGTTATAACTAATGATTATCCTAATTATATTTTAGATTTTTTGTATTTAAAATGATATGTTTATCTCGTATTTGATTATGTTTATCTATAATTAGTTATACAAATTCAAAAATGAAGCTTTAATAAGTTGTATTTACGTACAATTTACTTATGATATTGAATTTTAAGTAATATGTATCAATAAACTGTACTTTATACATAAAAAACTGTTTTTAAGAGTTTTTGTCAAATGTTTTATAATATAGTATAGATATGTAAATAAAACTATAGCAATATTTTCAATTTCAAGAGATTTTTTTCTAAAAAATATTAAAATTAGAACTTTTTTGGAAATTTAGGAGGCGTTTATCAAATGCTTACATGGGTAAGTGTTTAGCGGTAAAATTCAACACTACCACTTACTTACTGGGTAAGATTTTAGTTCATCAAAACGGTATCATATGCAACAATTTACTCATTAAACACTAATCGTGGTAAGAGTCGTCGTCTTCACTTATTGGGTAATACTCTCGGTCCTTCTCTTCTTCTTACCGGATAAGATTTTTGGTCTTTGTCATATTCATCCAATAAGGTAGTGTGACTTGATAAATACTTACCCAATAACCGTTTTAGTAAACGGCCACTTACCTTCAATTCTAACACATTCTTCATTTTAGAAATCTAATATTAATTATATTTACTAATTTTGTTGGTGTATTTGATGTAAAATTATTAATATTTACCATAAATGAAAAGTCAAAAATTTAAAACTTTCAAACAATTTTTTCATTTTGAAGATTATAACTTTAATCATATTATCAAAAAAAATATAATATATTTAATATCCTAATAATTCAAGTAAAACCTATTTTTATGCATAAAATACTGTTTATCGATGCATATTACTTAAAATTCAAAATTACAAGTAAATTGTGCATAAGTGTAACTTACTAAATCTCCAATTTGAATTTGTGTAACTAACTGCAGATAAAAATAATCAAATATAAGAAAAACATTTCATTTTAAATATAATAAATCTAAAATATAATTAAGATAATTATTACATTTAAGATAATATTTAATTATTATATTTATAAAACAATTATACTATTAAACGGGAAATAAATTACTTCATTATTAAATTATAATAAAAAATCGAATTAAAAATTTACACAAAAAACGAGTATTTTTAAATACTTAATTTGATTCTAATATCGATATTTTTCAAGTTTTTATGTGATTTTCAAATTTATATTTTATTCAAACATAAAAACGTTATCGTTTTCTTAAAAACATATAAAACCGGTTATAACATTGACAGACACAAAAAATAAAAAGAAACATATCAAGATATATCTCGCTACATTACGCGAGTACCCTTCTAGTATAATTATAATAGAACTAACTCCATTTGTAGAAACAATAGGAAAAAAAAAACACAATTTCTCTTATTTAACGATCATTTTTGGAGAATTTTTATTGAAGATTTTAAGCGTGTCTCTATTATTTTCTTCATTTTGGAGAATTTGTTGGGGGTAAAAAAGTAAACTTAAATCATTAAAATCTCACTTTTCTCAATTTTGAAGAATCTGTTGGAGATGTTCTTAATAGTGGGAATAATAAAATATCGTTTATCTCTCCCAGTTACTCCAACTTTAGATAACCTTACCTTTTTCGCTCATTCGTTCTCCATTTTCGAGAAGGTTTTTGAATCCATGTTCGAGCAAAAACAATCTTTATTTTGCATAACTTGTCGAAAAGACTCTGATATTCGTCTCATAAAAATTTAAACTAAATCAACTTTGAAAGATCAGGTGGAATTTTTTACATGTTTGATTTTACTTATAGCTCGTTATAAAATTCCGAGCTAACTTGAAATTTTGATTTTTTTTGTCTGTTACTGTCACGTTACATATTTTTTCTGTATTTTTACCTGTTCTTTCATGATCCAATCAGTTTCACACTTACAAATGGACTCACATTCCATTAGGTTAATCTCACACTTACCTGAACATGATGCACTCTGTTTCATAATTTCAGTTTCACACTTATTGGAACATGATGCAGCCTGTTTCATATGTTTAATTTCATACTTACTCGAACACGATGCAATCTGTTTCACTTGTTCTTTCATGATCCGATCAGTTTCAATGGAATAAAGTTTCTAATTATATGCAATCTGGGTAATAAAGTTTCTAACTATATGCAATCTGGGTAATAAAGTTTCTAATTAATTCCTAAACTGTTTTAACATATGCAAACAGGTTGAAGATGAACTGAAATAAATACGGTGTGACTACAGATATATAAATTTCATCAAAATCATGCAGTAACTTACATGGACTTTATAAGTTGTATATCTGTATTGTATTTTTTGGAACCAGTATACGGTACCCAATCATCACTCACTTAGGGTGCATACTTTACCAAAACGTTTCATCAAATCACATGAAACTTTTTGAAACCAGTTTCATTGATTGAATCAAAGCAATTAAACCTTTTCATCAGAATATGGATCAAATATGAACTTAGCATTTCAACGAACACATCGGCTGCATCATTAACAAACACTGCAACAAATTCATGAATATAATCATGTCATCAGAAGTAATGCAACATCATTTCATTAAAACTCATAACGATGAGCATTCTGTTTCACCAAAATTGAAATCCGAATATGTTTCATCAAAGATTTCAAATACCAACAAAATTGAAAGCGGTTTCTAACCTACATGTTTTGTCTGACGTTTGTAATAATTTCCATATAATGTCCACTATCGATTATTGTACTTGAGGGGTTGATTTCAATAGGACCATTATCTTCAATATCTAAGAGTATTGGATTGGATGTCGTGTTCTTGAACTTAAAAAATGCGGTTTTCAACATTATTCTTTCATTCATTTTGCGAAACTCATGCAATAGATTCATGGATTTCGATAATTTCATGAAAAATAGTTCAAAAACGAAAAGCGTAACGCCCTCGTTTTTTTTTTTGAGAACGTTACGTAATCTGAAACGAATTCCTAAAAAAATACTCCAAAAGACGGCTAAAATAAAACCATTTAAATCGTTTACCACATAAGTCTTTGAATCAACCAAAAATTAACTTAAGTTCTAACCCGAAGTCCAAAACTCGATGACCTCCTAAAACGTCAAAATAAACGTTTTATGATCTTATAAATCCATCTCTCCAAATTAAAGCGTCTCGGTAGTATTAAACTCAAAGACGACACTTTAAATCTTATTATTAAAATCATCTAAATAATTAAAATATTTAACGTAAACACCCCTCCTTTTGAAATATATAATTTATATAAATCCTCTAAAATCAAAGTGTTCGATGATAACTCTCCTTATTACGACACTTTTATATTTTATTTATTTATTTATTCATCATCTAAATAAATAAATGATTTATATAAGCATCCATATAAGAATAATTAATTAAATACCAAATCCAAGTGTATGATTATTTAGGATATTTTCATAATGCTAAAAAAAACAATTATGTAACTGTAAAAGTAATAATCTGTCCTAATTTGTTTAGTCATCCCCTCCCCGTCATCCATCCAGCCATCAAAATTACAACCCCGACACTTCCTTATATTTTGTTCAGCCATTCTCCATTCCTCCCCTTTATCCTGTTTTTGGTTTTGCCATGTTTTTTAGAGACGAGTTTTAATAGTTTACAAGCGAAA